AACACCTCTCTACTTCCCCCACCAGCACACACACTTCCTCAGGTTATAGAAGCCCTCGCTATAGAAAAGGCAGCAAAGTGGTCCGATGGAAGCATTGTGAGCGATGAATCACACGGAGGGGAATGTGGAGGGAGCCGGGATGGGAGCCCAGTGAGAGCGACAGAGGGAGCAGGAGTGTCTATAGTAGTAAGCCTGTATATATGGAATAAATATAGAAACAAATGCATGCAAATGTGTATACAAACACAATTACAATAAGATGATCATAGAGAACCATTTCAAGTCGGTATTTTTTTCAGCCCTCTACAGCTCAAATGTTGTCATAATTCAGATTGCCAATTCCTTCGGTTTCCCCAGGAATTAGTTAAGTTTATGGATTTGCATCTTGGATCTTGGCAGTAAATAACCTCTGCCTCTGATTTGTCTTTAACACATGAGACTGAGCCGTCACACTCAAGCAGTTTTGCTTTTTTTGTAACCGTGCAGAGTGTGACCAGCGTGATCATGCAGATTTTGATCATGCTGCTCCTTTGTGCCATTATACAAAACACGTTGGAACATGTCAATTCAATGCTGAATAAAATAAAGCAGTATAATTCTGCCATATGTCCCAGGTGCTCAGGCCTTAGTTTGAGAAGACCGTTATTGAAAGTCAGGATTTAGTTTTGAATATTCATTTGGACATGTTTCTGTCTACCTTGTGGTGGAAAGCTGACACAGGTCAAAACAACTGCTGCACTTTCACATAAATGTCCTGTGTCAACATGTCATTTGGTCACTGGCCTTCAGTGTGAACGTACCTGTATTAACTAATCCAGTTAAAAGCCTCCAGGAAGATGAGAAAACCCTAGATAGTTAGATAGATACTTTATAGATCCCTGTTGGATAAATGCAGGTGTCCGGCAGCAGAAACACATCATCCCTTCAGACAAATAAAACATAATTCTAAAAGTTACTCTAAAAGTTAATAGTAATACAATGCAACAGCACTTTAGGTCACAGCAGCAGAGGTGTAGCCGCTGGGTCCATATCCCTAGATTGATGTAAGCAGAGTCTGCTTGGTTTGGACCATTTTCTCAACAACAAAAAGGAAAAAGATTCAGCATTCCTCCAGTGGATTTACGCTCAATTTGCTTGGTTAGGACGGTGCATCCTCTCTGCTCTGGTCTGAATCAGTGAAGAACCATGACTGCACTGCATTAAAATGTACAGTATTCAAATATCAATGTAAAGCATAACACCAGAACTGTTTCAGGGCTACTTAGGACTTGCTGCTGTTTCCAGTGCATTCAAAAGTAAACTATGGTCATGTTTAGATGAGACTTTCCTTTAAGATTTGTTAAGTATCAGGAGCATCAGCTTTTTCTCTTTCTATGTGTGAATGTATGTAAATATTCTACACTATTCTATAAGTTCTTGGCCTGGGCCTTTGGTGAAGTGACACCAAACGGGAAACTCAAAAGACGCGACAAATCATTTTGACCTGTTTTGAGTTCCAGTCACACGTAAATAAGTTGTTAATTTTGCACTTTCAAGGGCGTGTCTAGCCTTACTTTTCCACCTGAAAAAAAACAAATCCGATGAGTCAGCGCTATCTCCTCTTCCACTATAATAATCTAAGAGTTGTTTTCGGCGATTAGTAATCCCTACATCATCCCACGCTTTGCGCTGACAGCCGCAATAACAAACACAGCACTTTAAATAACTTCTTTCCTCTACCTCGCTGCCAATAATTTAATCCTTTACCTAATACCATGTAATTACCAAAGCGAAACGGCCCGGTGTGCAGATAGAGCCACGCCCGCTTCCATTCCTGGAACCTGACGTTTTTTGGCGAGCGTGTAAGCGTCAGTCATCGGCGTGTCGGAACTCATGGCGTTAATGCCAGGTCTGTGTGACCGCGAGGCTGATGCTGCTGAGTGAGGAGCAAGCCACAGAGAACGGAGCGCCCCATTTGCTGTACCAACAAGTGATGGGGTGTATCGCAGAGGAACGGTGTGAAAAGGTTTTGTTTCTTTTATTTTCTTACCCTATACATGTTGTTGCATAGCACTTTAGTTAGTCGTGCACATAAAGACATGAATATAGAGACATTTAAGGACATATTCTTCCCAACATGGACCAGTGGCTCCTATGTGTTTGTTATTATTGCATTTTCTGTGTTAGAACTGTCTGATTCTCTGATCTGTTGTTAGTGAATCAACAAACTTATAAAGTCCTCAGAGATTGTGATTTTAGGGCTATACACAAATACATTGAATTGAATTGCGCAAAGGTAACAGAAAACAGCAAAAAACAAACACTGCAATAAGTGATTATATGTGAGTATGATATAGACTCATTAGATGCAAAGTGATAAATACAGCGTTAACTATTTTTATGTATCATTTTATTGATTGAGGCTCACAGTCCATTTTCAAAATATAGAAATGTTCTGAGATGTTTTAGTTTTTCATAAGCTGTGAGCCAATTATCAACTTAACATCAAACAAAGTGTGACTGTGACACTTGTCATGTCAGGATGGCACTTATAAGGACGTTTAGAGGAACAAAGTCGAACAGAGCAGCTTCCAGTGCAGACCCAGGCGCAGGTTTATTTACAGATTTTACATATTGGGTGTTAAAATCACCACAGCATGTCCACCAGCACTCTCCCCTGCTCAGAGTTGGTGCCCTGCTTTTATAGCAGGTGACAGTAATTGGACACCAACACCAACTGCAGCTCAATATAAATAAAATACAAAAAGATAAGATAAGATAAGAATTCCTTTATTCGTCCCACAGTGGGGAAATTTTGGTGTTGCATCGCACATATAGGACAGTAGTAAGAGCACACAGGGAGCACACACAATATATACAAATAAGTATTAGCTATGTTTCTTAGCTAACATAACTAGCTGTAGATGCTGAAAATGCTTCAATACCAGTCAAAAAATATATATGTAGTAGTGCAGTTATATACTGTACAGTTAAATAGTGCAGGATAAAAAGTATATAAGTAAAGTGACATGAGGTAAAGTGACATTGTTCTGTGACATTCTGAAGTTGCAGTATTGCACATTGCACATGATTTAAGAATTTACTTAATTACAGATGAATGAAATTGACAGGCTCAGCAGTTCTTATTGTACAGTCTGACAGCAGCAGGAAGGAAAGACCTGCGGAACCTCTCCTTCACACAGCAAGGGTGAATTAGTCTGTCACTGAAGCTGCTCTCCAGAGCAGAGAGAGTTTCCTGCAGGGGGTGACAGTCATGGTCCAGCATAGATGTTAGTTTGCTTTGGACCCTCCTGTCCCCCACCTGCTGCACTGTGTCCAGGGAACAGCCCAGGACTGAGCTGGACTTCCTGCTGACCTTGTCCAGCTTCTTCCTGTCCCTCTCTGTGATCCTGCTGCAGACCACACCGTACAAGATGGCTGATGCCACCACAGAGTCATAGAAAGTCTTCAGGAGTGGCCCCTGCACTCCAAAAGACCTGAGCCTCCTCAGTAGTCGGCTCTGGCCCTTCTTGAAGAGGGCGTCTGTGTTATGAGTCCAGTCCAGTTTGTGGTTTCAGATGAACACCCAGGTACTTGTAAGAGTCCACTTTCTCGATGTCCTTACCCTGGATGTTCACTGGAGCTGGAGCGGCAGAGTGACGTCTGCGGAAATCCACCACCATCCTTCCTTGGTCTTCCCCGCGTTGATGAGGAGGTGGTTCCGCTGACACCAGTCCACAAAGTCCTGTATAACTCCTCTGTACTCTGTGTCATCGTCCTCGGAGCTGAGTCCGATGATGGCAGAGTCGTCAGAGAACTTCTGTAGAACACAACCGTCCGTGTTGTGTCTGAAGAGTGGATGAGTGAACCCTCTTTAGGTTCTCCGGCTGCCTTGGGACTCTTTTGGCCGGAACACCTACAGTAAAGAGGGCAGACAAACAAGAAAGCAAAAGGTCAGTATAATTACATGTTGTACCTTTACTTGATTCCCTTCACTTACTTTTACAATTTCCCTTTTACAGGTCTGCACCTTTGCATTAAAAATCAATCTTTAATAAACTGTTTAAAACATTTGAGTCTGTCTAATTCCCCTCACCTGTGAACACCTGGTAATGGACTCTGCTCCATTACAGTGACATATCACACTTTGTTGTAATGAGCGGGTCATGTATTTGTTTCACTTTGTTAGCTCAACAACAGAAGTACATGGACTTTCCGAGTTTCGGCTGAACATAGGACTAGTGGCAGTTTGGGTGTCACTGTGTGAGTTTAGAAATATCTTTTTTTAACATGCTGTGTGGTTCCTAAATTGTTTTCATAAATATTGACTTTTGTCTCAATGGAAAAAGTCTTGTAGAAGTCAAATGTTGTGAATGTTGTAACCACAATGTGCTGTTTTCATCTTATTAGAAATCATGTCATATTTTTAATTCTATCTGAAAAACTGATCTAAAGATGTGACAGAAGTACATGCATATGAATACTAGTGATTAAACTAAACTGTTTTGAGAGTAAGTGACAAGTTACATGGATTTCCAATACCTCTGCCAAAGTGGTACCACCAGACAGATCTAGCCTGACCTCTGAAGTTAAGCAGGGCAGGGCCTGGTTGGTACTGTGATGGGAAACCTTTGGGAACACCAGATACCACAGTGTGGCACAGTCTTGTGTTCTTAGGTAAAAACTGTATCCATATTGCCCGTCATGAGTCTGGTGTGTGAGTGAGTGAATGATTGGTGGTGGTCAGTGGAGCCGACATACATAGTGGTCTCGCTTCTGCCAGTGTGCCCCAGGGCAGCTGTGTTTACTGTAATGGTTTATCACCACTGTGTTTGGATAAAAAGTGTCAAAAAAACCACTGTACAAAACTGATTCATTTTTGTTTCATTGTCTGTGGTTTGATAGTTAGCTTTGTTTTTTATATGATAATATGCTCGCCTTTGAAAATATTGTTAAAGATTTTTTCAGGTTTCACTTTTCCCTCTATCCAAATTGAGTCACAGTTATCAGAAAAATCACAATTAGAGTTCATCGCCAAAGTCTTCTGCCTCCGTCTGCACATCGGCCATGGGAGATTTGACAAAAGCTGGCTCGTGGCTCCTTCGTCCTGCCTGAGTGCTCCGTGCTTGGGGGTTGGCAGACAGCTCTTGAGTGACGTGATGTCCGCTGGCATGAGGTAAGGCCAGTGTTTATGCTAACTCATAAATATGCATGCTTTGGTGTTATACTGCCGCTTATGACAAGGGAGTGACGAGATTAGCACTTTGAGAGGGCATTTACCTGTCACAGCTAACCGGCCCTGCTCGGACACACTCTGAGGCCGCTGGTTTTAAAGGCTGACGACATTCGGGCAGTAAAAATTTAAAGTGCTGTGATTAAAATGTATAACGTCAATCATATGTTGAATCAAGCAACGATATTGATGAATTAACAATTCCTCATGTGAACAACAAAGTCCATCCATCCATCCATTTTCTACCCTTTAATCCATTTCTGGGTCAGGGAGGTGGCAATCAGAGATGCCACCCAAGTCTCATAGCTCCAGCCCCTACACCTTAAAAAGTAAAAGTACCAGTATAAGCTGGTACAAGGCCCCGCAGAAACTCACAAAAAGGCTTGTGCAGTGCTGCCGAATCATCAACGTGTCATAGATGCAGAAACTAAAAAATGGTGAGCAAATGAAAGAGAAGCAGTGGGCATTCTACCCTGTGTTCCCTGAGATTTCCCATGGCAGGACTGACTTCAGGATTTCACATGCAGGTATATGACCAGAAGGGTCATGGTTCATGGTTCACTCGGACATGAATAACTTTCAAACCAGCTTTGAGAGTGTAATTAACATGAGCCAAAGATGTGAAAAGTCCATTTTACATTTTGTAGCTGTCCATATTTCATCCATTCATCCTTTTTCTGCCGCAGGGGGACCTGTTTTAGAAGAGAGGCCCAGGCGCCCCTGTCTGCATCACTGCACATCGATCTATCTGGTACCTGCATATTTATTTAATGTTTCTCTGGATTGTAACCGGTGCAAATTTCCCACACTCACAAACACACACTCATTCACCCTGAACTATTGTACATGTCTTTCATGGTAGGGGAACCGGGGCACCCAGAGGAACCTACATGGACACGAGGAGAACATGCAAACTTCACACAGAAAGTGCCTCTGGAGGTGAAATTGAAACGAGAACTTTCTTACTGTGAAGTACAAGTGCTAACTGCTGTGCCACTATGCTGTTCTGTCCAGTATGGCAGTAGTCAAAGCCAATACATTCAGTCAACTAAAAGTGTTTTTTAGGAGTTTTAGTCACACCATAATTAATCACTTTCTAGGTTGGGGGTGACTAGATCTTTAAAATTGTCTGTTCGCAGTTAACCTGTTGAACAGACAATTTTAAAGATCTAGACATGCTTCCTCTTGATTATCTTGTGATGTTCCCTGATATGTGCCATACTCACTGTGATCTTCGTAGTATTGTATTGTATTTCTATTTGTATTGCTCCACCACATGCAAACAATTTTCACCTTGGGGACAATAAAGTTTTTGAGTTGAGTTGAGTTGAGTTGACAATCCAAGCTGACCCCGAATGCTCGAAGCACCAGTCCCTCGCTGATCCTCCTGCAGGTGGTGGCTCCACAGGATGATGGCTTCTCTGTCATCGAAGACATGGCCTTGGTCTTTCAGTGGGGGCTTCAGGCAAGTGGATTTAAGTGTCTTGCCCAGGGACACAATGACAGCGGACATCACTGGGAACTGGTGACATGGGTTATGGGGGGATTGAACCCACGGGTTCCAAAGACCAATGCTCTACCAACTGAGCCACTGCCGCCCCCATTTCACATTCTATTCTCAAAATCCTGTTTTAAGGATCAAGATGGACTCAAAAAACCTAAAATTTCTTAAATCAACAACCAAAACAAAAAAATAAATAAAATGATTTTGCTTTCTTTCATAGCGGCCGTTTGAAAGTATGTTATGAACGCTTATGTTAGGGGCCTGGAGGGAGGCTGCTGAGGCCCCGGGTCGGGGTTGTTGTGGTCTTTTGTGGCTGCACTAACAGGATTATCTGACAGCGTGTGTGGGGTGAGGCTCGTTGGAAGGAGCCCAAGTGGAGAAGAAGCCTCTGGGGGATGAAGAACAAGCATGTGAGGTCTGGGTCTGAAGACGTGTGCATGAAGAAAGAAAGCAGAGGGGCTCCTTTGACGAACGCGTCTTCTGCTGAACTGGTTTTTGCGTTGGCTTTGAGAGCATGGGATTAAGCGGCCTGTACACACATTCAGAATTGGAAGAGACAAAGTTGGATCCTTTTAACCATGTTTTACAACTCACGCTGTCCTCACATCCGAAGTAGACCCCTCTATCCTCTGTGAACCCCTGAGTTCATCTACCAAATGGTTGAGGAAGTTATTGAAGGGATAGAGCAGCCCTGCTTGTGTCTCGATGGACATATGAACCAGCTCAAACTCTGTGGAGCACAGGGCCTGGCCTCCTGCTAGTACCCAGAGTCAGGACTAAACATGTCTATTTTTCATTCATTCATTCATTTTCATTCCCTTTATTAATCAATTTCTAGGTGGGGGGTGGCAATCCAAGCTGCCACCTAATCTTCGTGGCACCAGCCCCTTACTGATCCTCCTGCAGGTGGTGGGTCAGCAGCAGACATCAGTGGGCGTAGGTGGAGTAGGTCTCGTGGGGGTCGATCCCACGACCACCAGGCCCCGAAGACCAATGATCTATCTACCTAGCCACTATCACCTAGCCCTGCATTTTAGATTATGAAGCAAAAAAATCTGGGACAGTCTTTCTGAAAATGTAAGAGACTTCTGCTCTGATAATGTAAAAATCCAGGTTAAAAACAGTTTAGCGGTGCATACAACTTATCTTCACTCTTTACAATGTACTCTCATCATGTTTGGCCTCTGTCACATCTTCAGTAATGAAGTAGTAAGTAATCTTACTACTGAGCGGGTAGTAAGTAAGCGGGTTTGCTGTTATCTGGCACATTTACAATTTGGGTACAACAAATCTTTATTTATATAGCGCCTTTCACATAAACAAGAGTATTATCCCTCTTACTCCACACAGTCAATGAATTGGAGGAACCTTACACAGACAGAGGGAAAACATGTACCCGATGTGTGTGTAGTTTGTATTCAGTTTGTAATCAGTCTCTTGGTGAATGGTGGAAAGACTTCATCCTTCTCCATTCAACGGCAGCACCACACTCTGACGACAACACGCAGCAGTCACAAGAAGATCAAACATGACGGATCGTTGGCTCGGGCAGGAAATGATGCTCGAGTCTATGAAGACCTGATTTTCACTGCAGAGCTATAAATGGTGTTAAAGACGCCTGGGAAGTGACCTGGCTCTCCGGATCGCCCTCGTGCCCAAATGCCCCGCGTCATTGTGTTAGAATACACCGGGTTCCTTGGAGGGTCAGGATCCCGAGATGGATACTTCCCTCGCCTCCGTATCAACAGAGGAAAGGGAATATTAAACAACAGGGATATTTCTGTTTCTGTCGGCCAAGTGTGGAGGGTTTCCTGGAAGAACACTTACACACTACAGACACCAGCGGAGAGGAGACACATACGCCTCATTCCCACTGAACAAAAACATGTTTCAATTAAAAACCCCAGACAGCCCCTTCCCTTATACACTGAGCCACACAGGCTGGCCTGTTTAGACAACTCAGCAGTAATGGTGCCTTCATGTACAATGGTAAGGATTAGCTGCATCAATCTGAAAATCTCAAAATGTTCATTTTGTGAGTTAATTCAATAAACCACAAAAACACGAAAAGCTCAAGTCTGGAACTCCCTGAGCTTGTAAGGCGCAATGTTTAAGTCCGAGTTGAAAACTGTTTTATCTAAATTGCTTTTTCTAAAATAATTTTAACAACTTTGATTTGTTGTTTATTCTGTTTTAAAGGTGCAATATTTTGCTTTTCTTCATTTTTCACAGTCCCATGCTATATACATGTGTGATAACAATATGGGTGTTACACCATACAATACTCAAAACTTATCAAATTACAGCCATTTCATGCATAGAAACGCTTGGATCTGTGCTCCTCTCCCTGTGAGCCCGCCTCCCCCGCCCGCAAGGTGAATTACAGTAGCATCACGCTACGTGAGAGATAAACAAGAGCTAACTGTAGAGCTTTCGCTGTTACATATAATACAATACAATACAATTTATTCTTGTATAGCCCTAAATCACAACTGTAGTCATGTCAGACGACTTAACAAAACCATTGAAATCACCAACACAGATCAGAGAATAAACAATTAAGACACAAAAAGAATATAGAACACGTGATAAATGTCCATACATGTTGTAGAATGTTAAAGTGTCCTGGATCATCACCACAGTCCTTCTAGTTGGACACTAACTGTCCAACAGACCCTCCTGCATCGACAAGGAAAAACTCACAAAAACCCAGTGGAAAAAAAGTGAGAAACCTGAGGGAGATCCACATCGAGAGAAGGATCCGCTCCACATGGACAGACGGGCTAATGATCCAGGACCTAAGCTACAGAACGTGGACCAGGGCCACGCAGCGGCTGCAGAGCGTGGACAGGTCCGGTGCAGGTCTGAAGCAGCTCCCAGGCAGGCCGGGTAGTCCGCAGGTGTAGATGGAGGAGGCCAGGTTCAGAGGTCCTGTCGTCGCGCCATGAAACAGACAATGGGACAACGTGTGAATAGCAATGAACAGACTACAGTCAAAATCCTAATAATGCAGACACATAAAGAAATTACAGTAATTTCACCCTTGAGAATAAAGTTTTTCCAACAATGTCAACCCGTCACATAGAGTAACTATAGTTCTGGAACAGTCTTTGCTGGTGTCACCATCACTCGCAAAAAAACATCTGCGAGTTTTGTTGCAGATTTCAGACTTGCCCAGATACGAGGAAGATCCCGGTGAACAAAGTCGATCCTCATTCTCCGTCTTTGGGCGAAATACTCTCGTCACACATTTACACCAACAACGCATTTTCTCCAAGTTGACATGAAGCTAACACAGAAAAGCACAGACACATATTTACTGTCTATGGACCACACGCTGGACTCGGAGAGAGGCTGCATGGGGCTGACCACAGATGGCACTGATTCGCTGGTTCTCGTCGCTGTCAAACACCTCTTGGAGGCGGGCTTTTGACGTCACGGATTGTGCCACGTCACAATTTGAAACGGCTTGTTTTTGTGCCTCTGGAGAATGAAAGAGAAAGATCGTTCGCTAACTGAAGCTCGACGGAATCAATGAAAAGACAACTCTGGGCATGAAGGCCAAGTAGCACTGTAATCATGTTTAAACCAGAGAAAAGCCAAAAAGCGTTATATGGGACCTTTAATGTGTATATTTTTTTACTGATTTTTAATAAAATATGTATTTGCACTGTGTATATATCGTATTGTATGTCTTTAATTGACTTGCATTGAGTTTACCTGGTGAGGCCCTTTGGGTCATACTGACCTGTATGTATTTATGAATTGTACTTCATAAATACATCAAAATTTGATTGATTGATTGGTTATTATGATTAATGTTCTTAGCAAATACATGATTAATAGTCAAATTAAACCTGGTTATATCCTGCTCTATGGACAAACAACATGCAATCATTTCAATAAATTGATGTGAGGAAATAGTATCCATGGTACTGTTCTTATTACCATCCACCACAGTGGAAATAGTGATGTCATTATTACATGTAAACCACATACATGATTTAAAATCCTCACAACTGAACATGAAATGTGTAAAATACAACAAAACATGGACGACTTGTGCACTCTTATGAAGGTCAAAGGTTATTTCAACTGGGTAGCTCAAAAGCATCCCTCGGTTCTGGTGAGGGGCCGTTCATGAGTCTGAGAAGTAAAACCAAACTGTTGTACAGTCTGTTGCTCACATGTGGGTGACGGCGAAACCCGCCGCACAACGATAGTGAAGCTCTTATCATCAGGGTTTGGGCCTTTGCACACTCTGCTTTTTCTTTTATACAGTTGTCCTTGTGGATAATGTGAACAGAGCTCCATGTAGATGGAAACGTGACACTGAAGTTGCTTGTCATGAAAATGCTGTCCCTTGCTCCTGGGAGCAGTGTCCTGCAGGACGGGGAGGGGCTCTGAGCTCTCATTCGTTTTGTGAAATCTGATTTTAAAAATGTCTTTGTTTGACCTGTCCAGGTGAAGGTCATGTTTCCTATTCTTACTCTGAACATGAGGTTTGTGTGTACAGGTCTTCACACACGCTGCTGTGTGTACAGGGCTTCACACACGCTGCTGTGTGTACAGGTCTTCACACACGCTGCTGTGTGTACAGGTTTCACACATGCTGCTGTGTGTACAGGGCTTCACACACGCTGCTGTGTGTACAGGTTTCACACAAGCTGTTGTGTGTACAGGGCTTCACACATGCTGCTGTGTGTACAGGTCTTCACACACGCTGCTGTGTGTACAGGTCTTCACACATGCTGCTGTGTGTACAGGTCTTCACACACGCTGCTGTGTGTACAGGTTTCACACATGCTGTTGTGTGTACAGGGCTTCACACACGCTGCTGTGTGTACAGGTCTTCACACATGCTGTTGTGTGTACAGGTCTTCACACATGCTGCTGTGTGTACAGGTCTTCACACATGCTGTTGTGTGTACAGGTTTCACACAAGCTGTTGTGTGTACAGGTCTTCACACATGCTGTTGTGTGTACAGGTCTTCACACATGCTGCTGTGTGTACAGGTCTTCACACATGCTGTTGTGTGTACAGGTCTTCACACATGCTGCTGTGTGTACAGGTCTTCACACACGCTGCTGTGTGTACAGGTCTTCACACACGCTGCACTGTTGTCTGGATGAATCTTTACATCTTTGCTCTATAAAGAAAAAGAGGGATCTATACTTTACCCTATAGTAAAGTTTAGATCTTACTTAGACCGACACAAACAGACAGTTAAAATATCTCATGTATGTGTATAGAAATAAATAAATAAAACAATCTACATTAAATTAAATGAGTCTTGAAATAAATAATGTGTAATAAAATGTACTTGTTTCAAAATGTATTCATCCATTTCCTTGAGTCCAGATTCAGTTGGAGTCATTTGTTCATAACTTTGAACAAAATAACTAATGTACATTATTAATAAACTATATCCACTTATTTGGATTTCAGAAGAGATCCTGTATTCCTTTATTAGCTCAGTTGGTAGAGCATTGTCCTTTGGGCCTCCCACTGATGACTGCTGTCGTTGTGTCCTTGGGCAAGACACTTAACCCCACTTTGCCCAAAGCCCCCGTTGGAAGATCAAGGCTCCTGTGGACTCACCACCTGCAGGAGGATCAGTGAGGGGCTGGTGCTAAGTGTACTGGGTGCAGCTTGGACTGCCACCCCCCCGACCCGGAAATGGATTAAGGGGAAGAAAATGGATGGATGGATCCTTTATTCGTCCCACAGTGGGGAAATGTCGATGTTGCAGCGCACATATAGGACACTAGTAAGAGCACACAGAGAGCACACAAAATGTACATAATAAGTAGCTGCTATGTTTCTTGGCCAAGTCTATGCTTCAATCTCAATCTTTAAAAAAATCTATATACAGTATATAGTGCATATAGTCATTGACAGGGTTACAAGTAGATAACGTACATGATGCTAGTTCAGCACGCGCAGCATCTACAGGAGATCCTCCTGCACCAGTCCGTCACGGTCACATTAGACAAAGAAAGCACACTTTATCCAGGATTAGTATCTCGACATGGAAAGCAACGACTTTTGCATGGCAGAGTCCACATTTACATAGTTAAATTGTTTCAATGATGTTTGAAGTGACCGGCCTACTCTCATCATCAAGCGAAGTGGAAACAGCATTAAATAGACACAAAACACAAAGATGCCTGAAGTTACTGTATAACTCTCACACCACGACAGAGTTTGGGGTCACACATCACCGTTCTCCAAAAGCATCGGTTACCTGTGGGTGACAATTTTCTTTTGTACTGTCCGTGTCAAATAAATAAATAAATAAATGTGAATTAAAAAAATCACTATTGGTTACAAGGTTTATAAAAATAACAAACTAAATGCCAAACCAGTACAAAAGAAGGATTCAGCCAGACTTAAACCAGGAATATTTTGTTTTTACGATGTTGAACTTATGAAATATACCTTGATTTTTGAAAATGTTCTTAAGATGATTTTTGTAAATGTTTCTAAAGGACAGGACCCATGTTTCCAAAACACCTCTTTATGTGCTTTTGCAGGTCACTCCACACCCATCTCTTACTTACTGTACCTCTCAGAATCAGAATATATTATTGCCATTATCAATGAAAAGTTAAATTTCTTTGACATTATGATGAAAAAACAAATAATAAAATAATAGAAAAAAACGTATGGCTTATAAGGAATAGGCATGAATATTGGAATAGTACATTTCTAGTTATTTTATAGAGATACAGTTCCTATATATGAGAACGTCTTTTCTTTTGTCAGATAACTCATGGTCACCTTACAGTGCAAGGCTTACAACATTACTAAGACCAGGCAGGGTATGTTTTTTGGAGAGTGCATACCCCGCCAACACCACAGGTCATCCCAGAATTATAGTGGGGTTTTCTCAGCATCACAGCCCATCTACACACCACATTTCATCTCCACATTTTCAGGAGTGTTTGGTCAATCCTGTTCACACACACACACACACACACACACACACACACACACACACACACACACACACACACACACATCACCACTGACAGACTGTACAATAAGTCACATTAAGTCACTAATGACCTGCACCAGGACTGAAATACCAGCACTGCTACAGCCACTTGTATTGTACATAATATATCCTGCACGGACTATATTTTTTAACCTTTTTAACCTTAACATGTTGCACACTTCATGTCTTTTTGCACAATCTGAGTGATTCTATCCATGCCAAAATTGACATGTAAATGTCCATTGTGAGAACAATAAAGCTTATCTATCCATCCATCCATTTTCTACCCTTTAATCCATTTCTGGGTCAGGGGGGTGGCAATCAGAGATACCACCCAAGTCTCATAGCACCAGCCCCTCACTGACCCTCTGCAGGTGGTGAGTCCACAGGAGGAAAGCTAAATGTTAAAAGCTCATATATGGAGCTGTTGTGGTGATGTTCTGGTGACGTGTCTTTTTTTTGGCGTTGTCCATGTTTTAAATGGTTTTGATGGCTACTATCATTATATATTGGTGTTTCCTCTGTAGGAACAAAGAGCACTCATAACAAGATAGCTACAAAGAAGATAAATACCTGTAATATTGAGAATCACTCAAAATATTCTACATTTGCACCTTCCAAAGTCACTGACAGCAAAAACATATTGCCATAAAATGTAAAAATCAAATTTTTGTCATGAGAATTGTCTAATTTTGTATTGGTCTTCAGAAGCTATTTGCAAACTGGGATGTCATTCAGACTTCTGATTTGGATAGTGAAATGTCCTGCGCTGTAGATTTGACTATGCTTGAATCTGCTCACATAAAACAAACTAAAAATGTGTTGGTGAGCACAGCCTGTCTATTTCCATGTATTGTTTGCAGTTACTGTTAATTTGTCGACCCTTTTTTTCTCCCTAAGAGCCCAAAATGCTTATTCTGACTTTCTTAATTTATGGTAAGTCTTATAAGGGTTTTGATGATTGCATTCCTATGTCTTCTCACTGCAATATTGTGTTTAACTTGCAGGATTCAAGACAGCTCTGTGCTTCCACCCTTTACATTACTTCTTCATTAACTCCACAATGGATTGGAGCCAAGGTGAAAGCTACTGCAAGGAACATTACGACAAACTGGCCACGTTTTCCAGCAGTGACGAACACAATCTGGTGAAAGACGTCTCCGGTGGGGCTTGGATCGGGCTTCAGGATCACAGTGAATCCTGGAGAGGACACATGACCAACCTCCACAACTCCTGGAGATGGTCCACCACACGTAGGTCAGTCGCCGGGGGGTACCAGAACTGGACCCTGGACGAGCCAGATTACCACGAGGCAAAGGAGAGATGTGTGGTCATGAAGAACGGACAGTGGAAGGATCATGACTGTGATGACTACTTGCCTTTCGTCTGTTTTAACAGTAAGATCTCTGTTAAGGTTGCATTGGTTTCTGAATGAAGGAGGGAATGACAGGATGAATGTAGCTCTCAGAATCAGAATCATTTTTGTTGTCAATTTGAATAACAAAAAGTCACAAATGAAGAAATCGCTTTGGCTCTCAGTGCCAACCAGTTATAAAAGTGAATTTGAAAAAGGTATGCATAAAAGGCGTAACATTTATTAACGCATACTACTATATGCAAGTGCATCAAGTACACTTAAATTCTTAGAGTTACAACTATATACAAGTAAAAGTTCAGCTGAATTAGGGTCTGTCCAGAAGATACAAAATGTGTCAAGAAGTTTAGATGTTTTCATTCACACGGAGCTCAGTTGGAGGAGGGTGTGTTCTTTGAACTGAAGGTTGGCGGTTCCAAAACTACTCCAGACATAAACATCATTGGCTGACTAAGCTTGTTACATAGCCGTAAGTTCAGGGGGCATCCAAGCACCTTGGCACCTTGGCACCTTACACTAGGGGTGGGAACCTAAGGGTACGTTACGATACGATACGATACGAGATACAAAGCTCACGATAACGATTATATCACAATAACAATTATATCACAATTTGACGATTATCGATATATTGGTCAGCAATATACCATATACCAACATATGGCATACATAAAATAAAAAAATGTTAAGTGAAAAATGATAAATGGAATGGAGATGCGTAATGTAGCCATATATTAAGTATTGATACTTTTTTTTTTTTTATGAAAATGCATATCGATAATTGATTGCGAGAGAAAGTATCGCGATATATCGTCGCACTCCTACCTTACACACCTCCGCAATTGAGCCGTTCTGCACCCAATCCATTCTACACTTACCCTAACCTTAATCCAATTGCTTTGTTTTTAATACGGGCCTTTTTGCCCATTGTCACTTGAAGATATAAACTAGTGTCCTCCAGCTACTTGAGTGTCCCAAACAGTGTATTGTGTATTTCACGATCAAAGACAGGTGCAGTTGGAGGGACTCCTCAATGCCTCTTCTTTGTCCCTCTAGTATCAGGTTAGTCAGCAATTTTTATCTCGGAACATTGACAAATCCACACCCAAAACTCTGCCATCTCCATCCAGCCCGCAAATATGTGACTGGTGACTAAGTGATAACAATATGAAAAAAAACTAACTTCTCTTGTGAAATGCAGATAACTGATGGTATTATGGTCTAGAATAAAAGGTCCAGATTTTATTTTTCCTCTTCATGTGTTTACTCTCACAGCATCTACTGAGCCAAAAGATTACTTTTTTTTTGACAAAAATTTGTCATGGCACACGTCAAGACAGTCCTGCAGACACGACAATGTGTCAGAACTGGCCATGATCGAGCACGAGGCCGAGAACGCTGCGGTGGCTTCGGTCATCCCATCCGCAAACGTGTCGGTGTGGATCGGCCTGTACAGACATCCCTGGGCCACAGTGGACAACAGAGGAGTGAGTTTCCAAAACTGGGCCCCCGGACAGCCCGACAACAAGAACGGAACACAACACTGTGCCTGGATGGGCGCAGATCTGAAGTGGAGGGATGAGGAGTGCACACGCGTGGGTCCGGTCCTCTGTCTCAAAGGTGATGAACACAAGGCATTTACATTTCATCCCACTTAAAGCGACGGAAACTAACATCCCAACCACTGTAAATAAAAATCATAAACTCATAGAATCTATCAAAGTAGTTCCTCGCTTACATCTTTAGATGAGCTTTTTTCAGATTGAAAAGTGAAAGAGAGACAACCCTCCCTCAGCCCTTTAGCTCTCAGCCAAAAGGATCAACAAGAGACTCTTTCTTACATTTATGCAAATGATCAGGATGCAAGATGAAGACAGTAGGTTTTGGTCTGATTTGTTCACAACATTTTACTTGTATAAGAGAAACAAGCAATTTTTGTACCCAATCTTTCATTATAAAAACAAATTCTGATTTTAATTGTTAATGTTTAAAACATTTGAAAATACTTTTCTAGAAGTGGGATATTATTTTGTGTGTGGTTGAAAAAGTGAAAGCCTGTTTTGTGTGTAAATTATAGCTTTGAAAACAAAAAAACGTCGTCTAAAGATCAAACTACAGACTTCTGCTGACCTGTCTGATCCAGCGGTGTACAAACAGATATTACAGAAGGTAATTTTGTGTTAATTTCAATTTGTATTTTATTTCCAAGCATACATTACCAAACATGTTCTTTGTCTTCAGCTTGGAGAAAAGCTGGAGCAGGGAGGGAACTCTGATGTTAAAGTCCTTTGGATAACCTCATACCGCTACACCTAGAGGACTGCTCACTTTGTTATGTCCAAAATATTATTTTTCTGCTAAGATTTTTTTACAATACAGTTTCTGTAAAACAATACATGTATTAGTGTAATCAGTGTAATTCTGGTTCTAAAGCCTGTCTGTCCTGAGCAGATCAATGTGGGCCTCCCCGAGGTTTCTCACTTTTTCCGCTGAGTTTTTTAGTTGTTTCCTGATGCCAGGAAGGACAGTGGTGATGATCCAGACCATTTAATAACATGTATGTACATTAAATAACATTTATGTACATTAAACAACATTTATGGACTTTGGTCATCATCTCCAGTTTATTTCTCTGATCTGTTTGTGAAGTCTTCCGGCTGCTGTTTTGTTTTACGTCTATATGAAAATAAACTGAATTGAACTGAAAATTTCAATTTTGTAATGAAACCATTAAAATGTCCACAAAATTCAAACTAGAGCTGTCTCATTTTACGCTGTATTGACAGATGATAATTATAAATATGGTATATTGTTTACTAGTTGCTTTTAATATGAATGCCTTTGGGTGCAGGGAGGGATTGGGATACAGCTCTATCAGCTGTTGCAGGCACACCTTCCTGCTTCCTGGAGTGGGTATGAGAGAGCCGACACGAGGAAGGGCAGGGCAAAACATGGACTTGTTTCTCTGTGATTAGGGCTATTGTCAGAGCGGTGCTGCTCAAACAGCTTGAAGCAGAGAACTGTGAGCCTCTGTTTAGAAGAAACCATGAAGTGAGGATGAGCTCAGGTGTGTATAGAGGGAGGGGTCAGTGAGGCAGGCCCGACGTCTCTCTTGTTCGTCCAGCCTGAATTTACATGCATGATTAAACCATTGAGTCCTGACCCAAAGGTTTGGTCCAGAACCACCCTCTGCTCGTCCGTCCTCAGATGGTCTCTGTGTAGACTTCTCAAGACTTTGGACTTTGGACTTGAGTCTGAGGGCTGTGCTGAGATCCTCTGCTGCAGACACCACCCTGACCTTCTCATTATTGAGGATTAGACACATATTTTATGCAAAAAAGTACAAATGTGAAATAAATGTTAAATGCATACACAGTGTGAAACTCGAGGTGAAGGCTTTAGATCTCGGGTCGCTCTCTATTGATGTGTAAATCCTTGGTTTGTAAAATAGAGAGTGCATGTATAATCCATGTATTAGAAATGTTGGGGCACTTTATTTGCAAGGCAAGGCTGTATCCTGAAATCTTTGCATAGTGAAATATTGTGTTTATAAAAGACTGTATCTCAGTGAGTTCTCAGCACCAACATATAGAGACATAAGCCTGGTGTTGCCTTCTTAGCCTCCAGTACTTTTAGAGACCAAGGTCACCCAAAGCACTTTACAATGTTCAGAGTTCAGTTATTGTTCCAATCATTCCACACACGGTGATGACGGAAGTGATCAGCATCAGCCCCCAATCAACGCCATCCATTAATTCTCATTTACATTCATACCTATTGTGCAGGTTTTTAGTAGTAGGGGAAACCAGAGCATCCAGAGGAAACCTACGCAGACACGGGGAGAACATGCAAACTCCACTCAGAAAGGCAATGTTCCGACCAGGATTTGAACCCAGGACCTTCTTGCTGAGAGGCGAGAGTGCTATCCACTCAGCCACCGTGCCGTAGAATCCATTCCTTTAAAAAAAAGCCTGGCCTGGGTAAATGAGGGCAAAATCAACACACCACAAATGGCCCAATAGTCAAACAAACATCTTTAGCTTGAGAGAGATTCTAGAAGTGCATTCTGGGTTCCTGAAGGTAGATCAGTTTTTTTCAGAAGAGAGGCAGGCAAAACACGTATTTCAGATTCAGATACTGATTCATTTATTTGCCATTTACAGTAAAACCACATTGGAATACATCCGCAAAAGAGACAAGCACATCCTTAAAACAAGATTAAAAGTACAGAAATAAACAAACAAAACAGGAAACAAGTGAAATCGATCGACTAAAACAGTTTCAATACAAAGGCAGGGTTGATATTTGCGTATGAAAAAAGAAAGTCTTTGAGTAACATTCTATTGATGCAAAGGTGATTTTTTTATCATCGCTTCTTGTTCACTTACACAGTAGGTAATGAGTAAGATGATCCTTTATTTGTCCCACGGTGGGGAAAATTCTGTGTTGCATTACCAGTATTACCAATTACAGAACAGTAGGAACAAGGAGCACACAACACAAGATAAATGAACAATAACTCTATACTAAATAAAATAGAATATAATCGCCAACTTTAGCAAAATAAGAAAGCCAGAATTAAGTATTAAATCTCCAACTTTAGCATAGCAAAAAAGCCAGAAGTAGGTCTAAAATCTCTGACATTACCCTCTAAAAACAGACCTCTTCTTATGGCCACAGGAGCCACTTCTCAGAGCTCCAGTCCATAAAGCTCTGCACACAGACAAACCCAGCGTGAGGCTCGAGCCACAGTCTGAGACCCTCCCTCCCTAACTGATCCCCTGGGGGTCTGGGGTAGAGCAGAGTACTATCCCATCCCTGGCCTGTCCTCTGCTGGAGCGTATGGGAGCAGTGAACAGGGCAGACCTCCAGAAACACCACAGCGGCGTCTACTCAGCACATTTATGACCCTGTGATGGATGACAACACGGACACATGCAGGGATCACACTGGATCACCCCGTGGTCAAGGAGACAGTCTGCTTTTTAAGGACTACTTTGGTATTAAAGTAGTATGTGGTATAATAATGTGTATATAGTCCCATTACACTCGCCGGAAAGAGGGTGGAGCCTGACTGTTCACAACTGTCCCATTTCTTCACTATTAGGTTATTTACGACTTGCCTTCAACGAGATTTCTCTGTTTGATGTTTATTATAAAAGCAAGTTTGTCCCTTGTTGGTTGGACCACTGTAAAGGTCCGCTCCAGGTTTATCTCTCTTTTTTGGTGAGTTTTCATCAATATAAAATCTATCGTCCATTCTGTGAGGATAAAGGACCTCTCCCATAACTACAGGTACAACAAAATACTGTACCTCAAGCTGTCATAGATGTTAATTATTATTATTATTATTATGATTAATGGTGCAACACACAGAGGATGGAGACTTTTCCTCATGGGCTGAACTGAATAGTTTAGGCTTTGTCATCACCTCTTGAAAATATAAAATATGTTTATCTACCAATAAATGGCTTCCCACAACCGCTAAAAATGATTGGACAACGTTTTTGGTTTTTGTTATCATTCATAATTTCCCAAATAACAAATGAACACTTGTGTCTGGGTGTATAAAGTACATTTTCAAGTACAACGACAAGTATTTTCAACTTATATATAGCAGTAAATATAATCAATAAGGGTCTTGAACTTTGCTTGCGAGATAAAACCTTGGCTTCATCCTTGTCCGTTTATCGTCGGACTCTTACGACCTGGATGTAAAAAGCAGGAGCTGGATGCAGACGGCGCACACGTGTTGAGCGGAGCCTGGACATCACATCAGCGACAAGTGTCGGAGGGATCGTAACCACACACAACACCGTGCTCTGCCACTCAGCACCCACCGCAGAGCCATGAGTTATAGAAGCATAAAGACGGCTGCCTCCAAAGTTACACACCACCTGACAAGAGAAATGTGTTTGCAACTGAAGTTTAGTGATGTGCCATGCTGTCCTTTCCCCTCATAAAACACACAGAGGTCTTCTCCGGGCTTTCAAACAGACATGTGATGCAAATTTGTCTTTTGAGCTTCGAAACATTTTTACATTTTGTTCACTTGTCAATAATATGCTGTTCTTGCTGTTTGTCCTTCCAGGTGATATCAGGAAGTTCCCCTGCCTTCTGTTCAAAGATGATGTTATGACAAGATTATAGAAAGAGTTTTAGGTACAGTATATTGATGAATTTTTAAGGATGAACTGATATGTCGGCTTGTTTTTTTAAATCAGACACTCTCTCCTTTTTGAGGCTCTCCTAGTCCTGCATAGATCTCTTTTCAAACTATATCTAAACGAGTGTAGCATACTGTATGGAGGAACACTTACCCAACGTATTTAGATAAATCACAAATCCTTCAAAGAGAATGTTTATACAAGTCAAAGCATGGTCTGATTTAGTAACTTTCTACTATGAATGCATCTCAGAAAACATTTGAGGGCCACTAAAAATGGTCTGCCCGGGAACATTTGGGATTATTCCTTCTATTTCTATTACTACAAGATAGCACTTCTGCTCACGTGGATTTTATTTCTCAGACTTTTAATCGTTGGCTGAAATTATTTTTGATAAAATCTTGCGACTTGTCATTTGTTTGTTGTATCTCCAATCTTGCGGCCCCTGCAGCTGCCAACTCAAGTGAAACCAGGAGGCAGATATCTCCAGCATACAGCCACCGTCTGATCCCCCTGATCGGAGTCCAGGGGAGATGGAAGTGTTGGGATTAATGAGACTGAGAATGACACCAGAGGCAGGCTGCAGGCACATGTCCACAGAACACAGGCCCCAGAGGTCCCAGAGGCCCCTGTGCTGGGAGATCAGGCTGGACTTTATTACAGGGAAAGGTGATGATGCATTATTATTGGTCTTTCAACATGATAATGAGTCTGAATTAAGAGTGAGCGCTTCAGTGCAAGTTTAGCAGAGATTTGTGAAGTGGTTTCTTGGTCACACCCTTGCACTTTTATCAGGTATAACTGTTTGTTTGAATGTTGCTTCCAGTGGTTCATTCAGTCATCAGGTACTGGGGGGAGAGGTTTTTTTCTGCACATTTCTTGTGACAGTGTTGTCTCTGTTTTGTCTCAGCCTCTGAGGGAACAGGTGTCTGCTGGTTTCCTGGCGGTGTGTCTTACAGAGATTCTGGACATGAAAGATAATGGATGATACTGTAGATCCAGGAGAGAATGAGGCTTGTTTATTTTTAACACAAAATATATGTATTTAAAGGCACACCGTGTAACTCTTAGCCACTAGGGGCGCTAGACCTGCAACTTTCACGTTTAGCGCCCCTAGTGGCCACAAGCAACTCAGCACTGTCGCAAAAGTCAACAAACAGTCAGCCGGTGTCTTTTGAGTGTGTATTCAGACAGCATGCACTGGTGTGTGTGTTCAAACTGTAGAGACATGCCTACAGATATTGAGAGACTCTGCTGTGGTCAGCCTCCAGACCGCTGCATTAGTAATCTACCACACATGGACTTCTATATCCTGGATGAGGGAGTTCTGCGTCTAGCTCGTGCTGCGTGGAATGACATCTTTGCAGTCGATGACATCCAGGAACCAGGTGAAGAGCAGCGCTCATACAGACATGCAGCTTACAGCACGATCCCTTTCGCGTTTCCTCTTTTTAGCCTCCTCCGAAGGTTTAAAATGTTTCCTTGCCTCAGCCATGACCAGGAGTCGAGCAGGTGAAAAATGAGTAGCAAAAGCCTTAGCTCCATGAGTATATCAGCGCCTGTAGCCGTAAAGCAAGTCTTTCTTCCAAGTCACGTGACCTGGTGGCAGACGGTCCGTCTGCTCGAAACTTACATGGGCGGTATTTCAAGAGGGCAGCCCCGCTCGGAGCATTGCAAGTGTCAAGCGCTGTATATTGGCCCAAGTATTCATATAAAATAACTCATATGTGTCAACTCTTTAGGTCACAAAGTCCGCGGTGTGCCTTTAAGGTTGCTCATTTGAACCGTTCAGGCAAAAAGATAGAAGAGCTGAATGCTTTTGAAGATTAGTAACAGGGACATGGTGCTGCTTCAACCGATGACAGTAGTGGTATCGAGATAAAGAGAGAGACATGTACAGCGTGCATAGAGGACTTTGGATTGGACTCCAAAAATGTTTTAAAAGCCCTGAACGTAAGCAGAGGCGAAAAATGAAAATGTGTTTACATTTGTATCATGGACTAATCACTCATGTCCTGGATCCATGTCTCACAACTGCCTCTCTGAAGTTATGATGACTCTTTGGCACAAACATTGCCATAATCCCATGCACATCAACTTTTATCCCGTGTGCATCAGTCAGTGCTCTGGGCTTGGATCAGTGTGGTCTCCCTTCACCCCTGCCCTGGGCTCCATGTCCAGGGGAGCATGGATCAGCCGGCCCCACAGGCAGACATGTCACAGGGGCATCAGAGCGGCACTAAGACCCAGGCCACATCACCGGTGCTGCACGGAGATAGCACCACTGCTGCAGGAGGCCTTCTGATCATTGATGGAAAGCAGTTTGTTCTGTGGTTGTAAAGGTTTCAAAGGTAGTCGTTCAGACAATTTGTTTAGGTACCCAGCATCTTGGCCAAATATAAGATACTCAGCTGGGAAAACTTAGTGAGATTCCAAGATGCTATTGTAGTTTTCCACAACTGGCTATTATTTTTAAGCAGAGCTACAGAAACACCAGATCTGAGGCATGGAAGTTCCTTCAGCCAATCAGCTTTCTCAGTGCTCACCGTCTAGTTCTGGAACACGACACCAGTCCACATATGAAAGAGCACGACACTTGCCCTTTAAACACATGTTAAACAGATGGTTATTGGACAATCAGGCTTGTATTCATTTATGATTTGAAGCATGCTATTGTGTTTGTTTTTATATGTTTTAATTACCTGTTTTAACATTTACACTATTGTTGATTAATGTGTACTGTCTCTATTCAAATAGAATAAGCAAATGAATACACAATAAGCAAATAAATACACAATATGATTATAGAACAGGACCTCAAGCTTAAATGTCTTACTACTACTCAAAGCTGAGTTCCTAACAAACTCGTTCATTAAAAATATATGTAGTTTGTCCCAAGAGAAAGTGTTTCTGGAGAAAAATGAAATCAGATCACACCAAGCTGAAAAAATATAAGATAAGATAAGATTGCTTTATTTATCTCACAGAGGAGAAATTTACATGTCACATTTGGCATGGATAGAGACACTCAGATTGTGCAAAGGGAGGAAATGTGCAAACATGTTACATGCAGGATATATGTACAATAAAGTGACAATAATTATGTACAACAAAAAGTGACAAGTGTCAATTGGAAACAATGGATATAGTTGAAATACTAAAGCATCTGATTGGTCAAAGAAAATGTTAAAACCCCCAGGATCATAGAAAGTGCTAAACCACCGATTTCTAAGCCCAAAATGGTGTGTGCGACAAAAAAAGTATTGAGTTTATTTTTCATTGAAGGCCGACAGTAGCAAACTTCGTCCATGTGCACTTCCCTATTGGGCTTCATTGAGCTTAGACGGTTAGCAGTGTCCATATATACATTCCATGGTCTGTACATCATGCTCTTTGCTTCACTCAAACCGATATTTCAGAATTTCAATTATTGACTCATATTTACAGCCAGGAACAAAACCACCGAGCTGTGTCATTGCTTTACCGCAGAAAAACCACAAACTAATTCATTTCCTTCAGACATCATTAAATCCATTTGTCCAAAGTGGCACGGGTGTTTGGAAGTCCAGTCCTGTGCGCGCGTAACTCGATCCAAAGTAAATGCACGAATAAAAGGCTGTTATTAGAAAGGCCGTGGCTCTATTAGGCCGGCGAAGCGGAGGGGCGCAGATAAATCACTGCTTCGGTCAATGTTCAGGATAATGAAATGCAGAGCCGTGGCCTTCTCTGTTTGGCTGCTGTCAATACGGAGCTGATTTATGCCGAGCGAGAGTCGATCTTTACAACTGCTTCCATTTTCCAGCGCAGGCAAAAATTTTGAAGTGAAATAAGGACAATTTGTAAAGATTACATCACGTGGTCGGGTTTAAGGGGGTTATTTTACGCCTAATTGGACCAAAGAAAGATATGTTTAATATGTTTTAATACGTATTGTGGATGATGAGCTCAAGAGACGTTCCAAAAGGCGTTTGTCCTTTGAACTGACTCCAACTGCTCTATACTTCTATGATGTATCATTTGTGTTGATTTGGACACATTTTTACTGTAAATGTACTGGGACTTGTTATACAGCTTACTGTAGTCCCGAGGCAAGGTGTGAAATCCCAGAAAAAACACACAGACCATTACCATATGAAATATTTATATGATAATAATAATAATGCGTTGGTTTTATATAGCACTTTACAGGACACTCAAAGATGCTTCACATGTCATTTTTCATTCACTCCATACACAGTGGTTGTAGCCACAGCTGCCCTCGGGCACACTGACAGTTTGTGCCATCGGCCGCTCCGACCACCACCAGCCGTTCACACACACACCAGACTTATTCATATATGTTCAGAAGAGTTAACTAAAATATCACAATAAAAAACAGGTAATAAAAACGTACATTAAAAAACACAGCAGAATATTTCAGAGCACTGGCAGCAGGACGTTGATCTATAATTGTGATTTTTAAGCTTCAGATTGTTTCCTGAGGAGTCCATTTCTCACAGTGTCACAAAGATAAGTACACAAAAAAATCTGTGTAAATGAAAATGAAATAAAAGATGTGGTGTTTTTTAAAAGTGAAAATGTGAGACAGACTTCTTCTCTGACAATGTTTAAATCCAGTTAAAAACAGTTCTGTTTAGCTGTGAACACAACTGAGGAATTTTATATTTACACTTTATAAAGTACTAGTAATATCATTATTTTAATGCTTTTGTGTGAGCTGCATAATCTGAAATACTGCCTCCCCAAATCTGAAAAAAGCCTATCTTGAGTTTGTGTGTGCCTCCTGGGTGCCTCCCTCTCGTGTTGCAATGTGTAAAATTGACACATTGCTCTGGATTTACTGCAGTTTGGGACCTGTTTTTAACCATAATGGCTGTAGTTGTGGCATATTTCAACGTAGGCAGCAGAGAGGCAATACTTTTGTTTTAAAAGAGAAAATGATCTTAGTGTAAGTAGTTAAGAAACAGACCAAAGGGGCTGGGAAAATTGACCCTCCTGAAAGTCCGAACATTATCGTGGATAGAGCTGAAACCAAGTCTCTTTTTGATGAGCAACAATGTTATACCATAGAAAAACAAAGAAGTTGATTTTGCAGATGTGTCCCCCATGTTACACTTGTCCCCACCTGCTAACCTCATCCCAGCGCCACATGCACACCCACTGCAAGTGAATATAAAACACTACGTCCTATCCTCCGTGATGAAATACTTCCACAGAGCTCAACTCTAATACTGTCTTGACCGTGTCTCGCAGTCACATCCCCGCGGACTCTACTGAATATCATTATTTTCTCCTCACCTCGAGCTGTTTACAACGTTTTAGCTGATGAAATAGGTTTGCAAGCTCTTTGTAAGGTAATTTCAACCAGCAAGTGGTGTTCGGAAAGGGGGAATGGGACAAACTTCAAACTGTGGTGTGGGTTCAGACCGGTACCAGACTCTAAGAGAAGATTCAAGGGCTGCAGGTGAGAAGTCATTGGGGATGGGGACATGTCATTGCTCTGAAATGGGAGGATGGCGAAAAGGTTAATGGGGAAGTAGAAGTTGGATTTTTAGCGCAGCAATACAACCTCTTCCAATTCTTTTGACAATAATTAGTGTTTTGACGGAGCGGAAGCTGGTAAGTAGACAATAGTTACCTTGACATGTTTCAACTGATACTTCCGCCTTCCCCTAACTTATCCGTCAAAACATATCAAGGTAATAACATCACTAACCTAAAAAATATCTGGTACAGAAGAACCAAATACTTTAAATTCTACAAAGAAGACAAGGTGAATCTTCCTAAACTATGGTAAGTATTGTATTTATTTGGGCTATCTCACTGTTCTGGTTTGTAAGTAGAAATAGCAGGATCAAAAATGGACAAGACCACTCCATAGAGTTTTGTTCGGGCCTGAAAAATCAAGCCTGACCCGGCCCGAGCCCGCTAATACTAAGCCCGAGCCCGTATAAGCCTGTATAAGACCAATTAACGCTGTATAATAGGCCCGAGCCCCACAGAAGCCCGACGCATCTGATTTCCCTTGTTGTGCGCACTCACCTTCCAATTGCAAGTTTAGCCACTTCTGAATGTGTTTTGTTCCTCCACTTGATCCATTTCTTTTAATGCTCCGTGTGTTCGCTGTTGACCATAGAATTCAACAGGAAAAACAGGATGATGCGTTCATGGCCTGCTGCGGCTGTAGGACACGCCGGTTACGGTGTTATAAATATATTAACTTTTTAAATAACTTGTTGTCAATCAACGGACATTATTATTGATAAATACATATATGCATATTATTAAGTATAATAATGATTAAAAAATTATAATAATGATTTTTAAAAAAATTAAAAAAGGAGCCCGAGCCCGGCACAGCCCGACTGCTGAGCGCTGAAATGAACTTGGGGTCGGGCTCGGCCCTGCTCGGGCTCGGGCTGAAAAGCGAAACTCTACCACTCCAGCGTCAGTATACATGCAGACTCAGACCACTCTTGAGGCACGGGTGGAGAAAAACAGCCAACTCTGCATTAAAACTGTAAAAGATACATTCTGACCAGCCCCTTCTCTAAGGAATAAAATCCAAAAATACCCCCAAAGTAGTTCTAGGTATAACGTAAAAGTAAAATATCCCCACTGTCTGAAAATACCCCACTACAGGACGAATAAAGGATCTCATACTCCAGAGGCTAAACTGCGGAAACCACTTTTCCTGACAGAGGCCTTAATGGCTTTGAAAGAATGGCTCAAATGCAGAGGAACATTTCTCTCCTGGGACAAGAAACTTAATTTGTGCGATGACTTGAATTCAGGTATTAAACAAGCAGTAGCCACAATACAGTCTGAAACATTAAAGGAACAATATGTAAAAATCTGGCCAAAAGTGGTACTGCAGTCACAGTCAATATTTTGTAGTCCTCTCCCACTCTCCCTGACTCAGGTTGCCAGATTCACACCAAATCCAGCAGCAAACACAGGGAATTATTTTATCAGTTGTTTGTCCGTCTCCATTCACATTGCCATGACAGCCGTGCTAATGCTGAATGAATGTTTTGATTCATGTTTTTTTATTATTATTATTTGGACATTTGAGATAAAAAACAAAAACAAAATAAAAGCATTGTAATTATACATAGTTTATGAAAAATACATAAGCAATTGATGTCCAAAATAGGAGTGGGAAGAATGGATGTTGGAACGTATTTCTTCAGCGTATCAACATCAGGGTTTGCTCAAGAGGATATCACCTTTCAATTTTATTTATTCCCTATTTTTTAGACAAACATGTAAAAGTCCCACATCAAAAAGAGACTAACATTATTTTAATTGGGGTACATGTGGTCTTAAATGATTATTTTTACAATTAAGCTATAATCTGCAAAAAAACGTCTTGACCTTCGTCTTTTACCGTTTTTAGAGCAATCTGTCATAGAATGTGATAACATGCAATAAATACAAAAAGACATAGCCCGGGATCGAACCCGGGTTCCTGCATCGTAAGCGCACTGTTTAGACCACTAGACCACCGATTGACACGAATAGAGACACTGTGAAGAACGGACTCAAACTAGAAAATTCTGCATCACACGTGAACTTTTATCAGCTGTCTCAATTGTTCAAAGGCATCCCGATATAAATCCTCGTTTTAGTCTTTGTTTTGTCATTAATGATTTGAGAGTCATAACAAGACCTTTTTTAGTTCTGCGCCACATGTTATTTTACCACTGAGATTAATGAGCCGCGCTGAGTTCTGGCAACCCGATCACGGACTTACATGACACTTCCTGATTGGCGAAACGGCGGAGGGTAGGACATCAAAATCAAAACAATAACAACTTTTACGGGTCGTAAAACTAATTTTGATAATCAAATATCTCGGCTGAACTACTGTTATCAGTTAAAGATGAATTCGAAAAGAGTATGATTTAATAACGCCTTTTGAAATATTCGGGTCATTTAATGATGACTTGACATGCAAATATTACATATTGCTCCTTTAAGCTCAACATACATCTAAATGCAGAATGTGTTGAGGCTCTTTTTCAGGTAAAGGTGTACTTTATTGACCCACTGTGAGCATGCGTCCTTTGCATTTGACCCATCCTGTAACACCACAAGGACGTCTGTTAGGAGCAGTAGTCGCCACAGTGCAGCGCCCGGGGGACCTATCTCCAGGCGTTATCGCTCGGCTTGGTCAGGACTAGCTTGTTCGTACCACACCATAGTACAAATGACATTTCGTACTAAGGTCTGGAGGTGCTGCATTGAGCTCTGTTTACAGGTGGGAGGGGTTAACTCCTTTTGCAGATTGAAACGATTGGATCTGAGTTTACCGTGACGTATAGAGAGTCGCTAGCATTTAGCATTTAGCCTGGCCATCTCCTTTGCCGCTAACGGAGCCCGTGGGGAGCATGGATCTATAATAATAACTGGATAGGGTATTACTAGCTTAAAGCTGTCCCACCTATGGGCACAGGGGGCGCCCGTAGTACTGCAGACTAAATTCATGAGGACTACCCAGAAAAAAGTCCCATAGAACTCAATGTATATTAAAACAGCACGACCTCAACTGACAGAGAACCTACAGCTTTCATAAAGATCGGATTTTGTGGGGATTTTAGTGTCACTTGTCATCCTGAACTTTTTTTCTTATTAAATCCTTCGGTTTTCTTTAAATCCACACTTTACTGCCACAAACTCTGCTCCCTGCCTTCCCGCTCTGGCTCCGCTCTTCCGCTGCTCTGATGAACTGCTCTGATTGGTCAGAGCGCGGCCGAGCCCCTCTGTGCGCGTGCATGAAAACCACACACGCACGTTTGGCGCGACATGTGTGGCACGTTGCGCTTATCCACTGCTCAGAACCGGGAGGACCAGACGATTCCCAAATATAGGCGAGTTCAGCTAATCTCCTGGTCTCCATGAAGTCCCATGCGCTACTGAGCACAAGCCATTCATCTGAATAGGGCGCCATCTTGGATCACCGGGGCTTGGTGGGGAGCAGCGCCACAATCTTTTCCAGCGATTACATTTGCTAAACATTCCTATTGCTCCGGCTTCAATTTCTTGATAGAACCAGACCGGATTACTTTACTATCGCATTTTTTGCTATTGCCAAACTACGACCTTCCCGTTCGCCGTAAACTCTTGACGTCACCCACAACTAACTACAATACCCGCGTTCCGCGCTCGCTAGTTGGTCGGTTGAAATTCAACCAATTGTATTCGCTAACCCAGGGACCAGACCAAGGCGTTACATGCAGTGAAATGATTATTGAGCGGAGTGAACGGATGGCTAAGGCCAGGCTAGGTCAGACCCAGAGCTGGACGATCCTCTGTGATGAAATACGGAGGTACATGAACTGCGGTGCATGTTTTGAATGGTACGGTAGACCGGAGCACCAGTAGGGAACCTGCGCGTACTGCCACCATGCGCTCCGAGGCTAAAAGCTGTCAAATAACTTGTGCAGTAGTTTGAGCAGAGGCTGATTGTGGTGAGATTAGTGTTTTTCTCTGCTTCTGTACTAAATAAGAATCTGAACACTTTTGACAAAAACCCATTGATAAAAAAATAAACAATGCTTATTTCCCACCAAGTCCCTGTGCCCACCTCAGACTACAAACACTGGTTTGGATTACTAAAGGTGCACTGTGCAGTTTTGAGTTGGAGGAAACACAACTGCTTCAAGACGCTTTTGGTTGCCTGAAAATCAATCAATTAATCAATCATATTTTATTTATAAAGCGCTTTTCATTAAAAAAAAGAATGCAACACAAAGTGCTTTACAGTTTAGTTAAAAATCCAACATGCCTCCATGCATCCAATCCAACATGCCCAGCCCTAAACCCCACCTCCCCACAGACCCCCGTTACTCAACAATGGAAATAAGCAAATGACACGTCAATAACGGCATATCTTTTGCAATTCAAACAGCGTCCATCGAATCATTAAAAGTTCTACATTCACACAAAGTTGTTTTATAAGGGGCAAAGACAAAAACCATTTTCACCAGACGAGCAGGTGATGGAGCCTCTTGAAAACCAACGGAAGCAGCGGACTTTAAGCGGCTTCATAAATCACACAGGTGTCAGAGAGTAGCACATCGTCTGCCTCAGCCCCGCGGGATGTCCGGGAGCAGACGGAGAGTCGGGACTCTCTCACGGCCATGTAAATCATACGAGCCCCCAAGCCCGTCATCCCAACATCCACAGATCCCTTACGGCTTATTGCCCCCTCGTCACTAGGGCTAATGCAAGCCAGACCCCACTCTTGTCTCAGTATACATGCAGACCACTCTTCTCTCAGTATACATGCAGACCACTCTTCTCTCAGTATACATGCAGACCACTCTTCTCTCAGTATACATGCAGACCACTCTTCTCTCAGTAGACATGCAGACCACTCTTCTCTCAGTATACATGCAGACCACTCTTGTCTCAGTATACATGCAGACCACTCTTCTCTCAGTATACATGCAGACCACTCTTCTCTCAGTATACATGCAGACCACTCTTCTCTCAGTAGACATGCAGACCACTCTTCTCTCAGTATACATGCAGACCACTCTTGTCTCAGTATACATGCAGACCACTCTTCTCTCAGTATACATGCAAACCACTCTTGTCTCAGTATACATGCAGACCACTCTTGTCTCAGTATACATGCAGACCACTCTTCTCTCAGTATACATGCAGACCACTCTTCTCTCAGTATACATGCAGACCACTCTTCTCTCAGTATACATGCAGACCACTCTTCTCTCAGTATACATGCAGACCACTCTTGTCTCAGTATACATGCAGGCGCAGACCATGATTATTTGCCATTATGGATACAAGAATAGAATCATGCACATAATGTCTTTCTCAGAATCAAACTTCCACTTGACTGATGGATAACTAATAGAATGATGTGTCTTCTATCCCAGCAAACAAGCTTACATGTGCAGGTTCGGCTTTAGGGAGGGGCCTGGGCTGGAGTCTTCAGCTGCTGGCCTGACCCTGCGGCCGGCTTGGGGAGGGGGAAGTCCGGAGACAGGTAGATATATGAGCGGCCTGTTGTTGTACGTCCCAGATCCTGCCATTATCTCCCATGCTCTGCTGTAATGTGGGGGTTTCTGAGAGCGCACTCAGCCAACCTCTGACTGACCCAGTGCCATGTTTACTCCAGTGGGGAATGGAGCCAAGGAATAAGGTTAAAGCCAGAGTACTTAACTTTCTTTTTTTCATTGAAAAAACACATTATTTTCAAAAACAATGTCTTCGTCCCTTCAGTTATAACAATTACATTTTTCAAACTTTCAAATGCGCTAACAAATATTGCAAATATAACGTTGAGAGCTAAATAACAGTATTCATTACTTCCATCCAAGTATATTTTAGAATAAAACTTATTTAAATTGGATTAAACTGCACCATGTAGTCATATAAACAGGAGTGTATTGCACTCATTTATAATAATTAACTGCAATCAATGTGTGTTGTAAGATTTTTGTGATTAGAAAAAGTAGACTGAAAGCAACAGGATGCCCTTCATAAAACTGTAGAATTTTATATCAAAGTGTACATACAGGGGTGGCGCCCCCTGCATGTGAATGCCTGACCCCAGGCGACCCCATGTTAAGCAGGGTAGAGCCTGGTAATTACTGTGAAGGGAGACCTCTGGGAACACCAAGTGCCAGCGTAGGGAAGCTGTAAAGTGTCAAACCTAAGTACATAGGCAAAACATTTCCCCCACAGCCAAGAGTCTGGTGTGTGGGTGAATGAATAACGGCACGTGAAGTGTCCAAAAAAGTGCTATACGAAACCAATGCATTATTATTACAGTAAAAACAAACAGTTTAGCTGTATTTACGTCAGGACATTATACTAGTATAATGTTTCTGACCTTTCCCAATACAAAATATAATCTTTTAAGCAGGATTTGTGAATGTCTTTGTCACACGCGTTTGTCTGCCAAAAATGTGTTACTGTACAAACCTGCAGCACAATGTCTACATCTCCTACTGGAGTTAAGGGTCTTGAAGGACGCATGATCTGATGTCACCGAGTCCAGCTTCATTTTCAACGTTTTATTTCCCAGGGTTAACGTTTCTTTGGGTGAGGGCTCGGTGTTAGAAGTCAGGGGTGGGGTTCACTGTGGTTAGGGCTAAGACTAGGGTAAGAATGGAGTAAAGCTCAGGGTAAGGAGTCCAGGATAAACTTGTTACAGTGATCCTGGACTGTTGATTACTTAGTGATATCAGATAATCTTCAACTGGAGTTTAGGATCAAGGTTCATCTCCTTCATCTGGATAATCTGTGTGTGTGTGTATAGACACCCAGCTCTGCAGTGTTTACCAGGAGAAACTCTGGGTAGATGAGTATGTTTGTAAAAGAAAGAAGTGACATTTGAAAATAACTGTCCCCACAAACTTCTATGTTGTAAATCTGACGAGATTTTCCTATTTTTGCAGTGTACACTCCACACACTGCAGGATTCCCCCCCGTGGGAGAGGCCAGAGAAGTGCACAGGATTCCAGAGCCAGGGTCAGGTTTCCATTTAATGTCCGTGGGTTTGGGCTGAGGTGAGGAGAGGGTGAGGAACGGACTGAGGGTGGAAAGCAGGAGTTTCCTCATGTCTAAACTTCTGGAAGTGAGATTACAATGTGCAAAAAGTGGATGTAGGCATGAGGTTTGATGGAATTGGACCAAACCACTGCTGCTGTTGCCCATTAGACCAGATAAATCCAATAATAATGATTAGCCTTCAGTGTTTCTGCTTTTATCCTTTTTCCAACATTGCTCCTTGTGACACACGGTCCGAAATTTGTATGTGCCATTTCTCCCGGGAAATAATGTTCCTTGTTATGACAGTATTTTCTGCATGTAGTGTTTGAATGTGCAACAATTCCTCTGGACTGAAGAACTGGATAATTTCTTTGATAATTTGTTTCAGTGTGTATCCAGATTCTCTGCTCCCTCACTTCAAATCCACCCTCAAAACTCATCTGTTTAGACGAGCCTCTTCACTCACGTCATGACTACACCATCCTCTGTTCATGAAGCTTTTAACATTGTATTTTTGCTGCATTTTAACTTGTTTTTTAACTATTCTTTAATGTACTTTTGACTTGATATGTAAGGCAACCTTGAGTGTCAAGAAAGGCGCCTAGGATATATAATGGATTATTATTATTATTGTTATTTTGTCACGTTGTAAAGCCAAAGGAGAGAGTCGTATTATCATGTTAAAGGGCCAAAAATAATTCCTAAGATTTCCGAAAGGGGGAGGAACCAAGTTTTTGTTTGATTTTCTTTAACGTGGATGGAGTGACCAACAACTCCAGCGATGGGGGGCGTAGGACAAAACTACATTTCCCCATTCACTTAAAAAATCTGACCGACCGACTGCACTTGTAACTCAAACTCCAATCTTAGCACAACTTTTTTTTAATCTCCTTTATTGCAAATACCTCTGTGGACGTGAAGGGGACGTTGATGGACGGGGCAAACAGGAGACGTCCGATAGTGGCCGTACGCTCGAGTTTCGCCGCTGATTGGAACCAGATCAGGCCGTGGCGGAGCTGTGAGGTGCGGTAATGAGATTCCCGGGAGTATGTTTGGATTAGGTGATTACAGGACCAGCCTTCCTCCCACCACGGCTACACACACACGCAGACACATACACACACAGACACATCACATACGCATTTGTACGGGGAAGTTCAAGGAAATGAGGCGAACAAGAGAAAGGAAAAGTTACGCTTCCTGTGCGCTACAGCCGAGAGAGTTTTGGGCTTTCTTTGTTGGTTTGAACCATCAACACTCGTTTGTGGGGATCTTATTCATTCACTTTGGGTCATCTTTGTTATTCTGTATTTGCTCAAAAATGTGTATCTGAATAGTCTCTCTTGATTGTGTGTTATATAACTTACACAGGGCTGCACAGTGGCGCAGTGGATAGCCCTTGTGCTTCACAGAAAGATGGTCCTGGTTTTGTTTCCACCTACAGGGCCTTTCTTGAGTTTCTCCTGTTCTCCTTGTGTCTGTGTAGGGAAGACCAGAACACGTCCAAATAAAAAAGGTCCAAATTAACATTAAAAATAAGTCATTTAAGGTCACGAAGGTTCATCTTGTCTTTGTAATTGATCCAGTTTTTTCTGGAAGTAATGTTCACACAATGGAAAGTAAAAATATAGTAGCCAATGCAGAGAAAAGTCAATTTTGCATCGTATAAATCCCATCTAACAATTCTCCTTTACCTTGCCTTGAGCAGCCTAGACACACCCGCTCTCTTCTTTGCAGATTCACTCCCTCCACCACTGCCTCCAACTCTTTCAAACTCAACCCTGACACGTCCTGGCAATATTTAGGCCAACACTTGACTTCTTAGAAATGCAAATATCCTCACATGAAAGACAATAGCGCTCTTAAGCATCCTCCAAAATAAATCCCCCTCCTTCTCTCACCATTCACCCCCAAACTCTGTACATTTGCATAAAACATTAAGCCGAACAAAATGATTCCACCTGACAAGCCGCAGTCTCAGCTTCGCCGGTGGTATACGCCAAGTCTTCCAATCTCTCCTAGACCCTTTCACGGATTTCTTTGTCTCAACTGACACAAGTAATCCTTTTTTGTTCCGCGATTTTTCCATTCTCCCACCCACAAATCCACTAACTTGCCCTTAATTCACTCCCCTGCACCTTGAAGATAGCGCTTCGGTGACAGGCGGTAGGTTGGGTTTTCTTTCCCTTTTTGTTGTTGTTTGTTTGTTTGAAATTGCTACGCTGTGATTTCGCATTATGGAAGCTAAGTGTTTGTCTTGTAATGCAATTAAACGTGCGTGTAAGCCACCCCCGCGCAGCCCTCGTGCCATTGTGCGCCACGTTTAAATCACTTTCAAGGGGATCCTTTTGTGAACCGTCTAACCTGGGGTGCGAAAAGAGGGGAAATTCAAGTGTGGGGACTTGAAACAATCGTAATATGACTTCCAAAGGGTTGTAGAAGGTTCTTAGCTGAAGGATAGATTAAAAAACAGATCTGCGCGTGTCTTTTATGCGCGACCCCCCCCCCCTCTTCCAGAAAGGTATGGTAATTTTTATGAATATGTTTTGCGATAAGGAGCGACGCCGATGTTGGGAAAGCATAGATCTCCCCGTGTGACAGGAGGTGTCAAAGAGAGCTTCGCTGATGACTTCTGAAAGGAGCTGTGTACACAAACGAAGCCAAGAGAAGCTGACAGCGGGAATCCAAGCAGTTCAAAAGTGGGAAGTTAATTATGCGTGTGTGCAAAACCATAAACTTTGCATGTACGTCAGTGTATGGCCTGCATACATTAAGGACGAGAACGTCGGCTGAGTTTGATCCACCGTTTATAAGGAATGCTTTATATTGTTCAAGCCTTATGGAAATGTGATTGGTTTATTTGTAAAATCTCCAAATATTTACAGTAGTAATGTTTTTCCAACTCATGACCCATTTTAAAAGCATTCACGACACTATGGCGTTTTAAATTAGAGAACCACAAGATGTATGATAATTAGCTGAACGACACATCCAAAAAAGCCATCATAATTGGGATAAAAGCAGATCACTGGCTATAACTATGAATTATTATTCTTATATGGAAATTATATTGTTTATTTCATACGGATTCAGATTCATTTTATTTGTCATTTGCAATAAAACCACATTGGAATACGTCCACAAAAGTCCCCAGTGTGCACAAGAAATAAAACAAGGTTAAAAGTACAGAAATAAAACAAACAAAACGGGAAACAATTGTCATGTTGAAATGGATCGACTAAAACAGTTTCAATACCAGTGCAAGATCATTAAAGTGCTCTGTTCAAACTGATAACAGTTTGTGGAAAGAAGCTGATAGAAAAATGAGAAGTCCTGCATCTCAGTCAACGATGTCTTCTGTCAGAAGGAAGAAGCTAGAACATGGCTTTTCCAGGGGCCAGAAGAGTCATTGATTATTCTAAGAGCTCAGTTTAAAAGTCTTTTATAAAGAACCTCCAGAACAGGAAGCTCACAGCTCATAGTCCTCTTTGCAGAGCGGAGCACCTTGTTTAGAAATCTCCTTTCTTTGTCTGTGATGTTACCAAACCACACAGTCACAGAACCAACAAGCAGACTTTAGCATACTTGTGTTCATTTTTACTTTGACCAATCAAATGCAACCTTAAATGTGTGGTCCTAAAAATCTGGCTTTGTCATTGGTCAGAGCGAGCGCACAAACTTGCTGAAGTGATCATGGAAAAATGTGTTTCTAAAAATGTTTCGTGTTCTGAAATGTGTGATGTTTGCCTCAGGAAAGAGACGACCGAAGCAGACACAACAAAGACAGATCATCATGGAAAACACACAAAAAAAAGCTGAACACAGAGCGATCCATAATGGTAAGGGGATTACAACAATGAATTAACTTCTTTATTTAATTGAGTAAATGAAAGTATCACAAAATATATCATTTTCTCAGTCCTTGATACCACTGTCTCATAGAGTGGCAAGAAAAATACAAGAACAGTCATACGCAACAATTTATACACAGTCTCACCTAACTTAGTTTTGAGTGGTTTTTAATCAATAGAAATAAGGCTACCCAGATCCTTTCAACTTCTCACCTGAATGCCTGCCATATTTTTAAAAGAACCACGTGACGCACACTCCTCCCCTGAACGTTACCATAACAGCCCCAAACATTATGGCTCTTGCACTGACCCTAATGCTCTCATATCTATCAGACTGACCATGTCCTCTCATGTCTATCAAACTGTCCAGGTCCCCTCAGACGACCTACCACAGTGTGTACAGTTGCAGAAAGGGCATTTCAAAACAGATGCGCTCATCAAATCACACCCCTCTAACACTATCGAGGTATTTTCTCTGGGTCCATTATTCAAATTCTCTATAAACCAGGTGTGGAGTCCATCCTTCCAACTGCGTACACGTGTGAGTAAATCAGAGTTTCGTCAGATCAGCTCAGGCCTCGAGGAAAAGCTGCGTAACTTTCTCAAAGAGCCAGCTGGCCCATTGTTCTGGCTCCAGCAGCTGTGTCTATTTTCACAACGCACTCTACCTTTGTCCCACTGCAGCTCCCATCAGCGCACACAGGCCGGAAGAGGCACGGGACTGAACTTTAGACCTTGGTAACGTCTGACGTGAGACGATACAGTGTGTGGGCCTGACAGACACACGAGCGGTCAGTTTTTATTCAATATAGTTCAAACCGGGATTATACTGTGCCAATATGAGATGGTAAAGTATTCATTATGTAAGTATGGGCGGCACGGTGGCGCAGTGGGTCTTTCTGTGTGGAGTATCCATGTTTCCCCGTGTCTGTGTAGGTTTCCTCTGGGTGCTACGATTTCCACATGTAGAATAGGCCTGGCATGCATCTCCTGTATAGCGACCCTGCTCCCATCTCTGTGTGGAGTGAGAGACAAATGCCCACAACGATTGAAAAGCGCTTTGTGACTCTGTCTGTGAAAGGCGCTATGTAAACAAAGACTTTTCTCACTTATTCATTCAGAAATCGACCAATCCATCCATTCAGAGACCAAAAGTTTGGACACACCTTCTCATTTAAAGAGTTTTTTTTATTTTCATGACTATGGACATTTTAGATT